CAGTTAAGCAGAGGGACAACTTTACCTTTACTTTACACATGATTGTACTGGTTTGAAAACACTCCAAACATTTAATTACCTTTAAAGTACCTCGTGTCTCTTCTGCTGTCACTGATTCCACTAAACGGTGGGTTTATTGAGGAAACGCCTCCAACTGTGTTTGCCTACCCACAGTTCTTATCCTTGCACCTCTGTCCATACTGTTCCTCTATTTGTAATATTATCAGCCACTTGGGTAAGCCACCTCAGTCTGGTCTCCTGAGACTGTAGTCTGGTTTCCATTAAGCGGTGAGCTGATGCATGAGAAACCTGCAAATGTACCTGCACGCCCACAGGTTTTCATCTTGAGCCCACAAGTTTCTCCTACTTGTTATATCATCCATCACTCATATGGGTAAGCCATCTTGATTTTTGTTGTCCTTTATATCTTTTGCCTTTTAACATATAATTCCAAATCCCTACCATGCCGTCTGATTACATCCACTGGTTCAATATGGCCAATCACTGTAAGCTTTTCATCCATGAAATGTCAATTTCTATCCTTGTGTTTCTGCAGAGCTTTCTCTACAACTTCTTTGTTTACAAATTGAACATACCCTCTCCAGCAAACCTCTTCCTTTGTATTCAGGCGGTAGGGAAGACCTGTTGTGTACTATCTCCAGCCCTACCCAACCAATTCAAATTTGCTGGAGCAATTGTTGCATTTATAAATCATTTGCCGCAGATGAGGCACAGTGAAACAAGACAAACTGAATCACCAGTCCATGTAAAGCCCACTGATAAACAGCTTTCATTCTGCAGACAGACAATTTATGTGTGTGTTGTTACATTTATGCAGTGAAATTTGTTAGAGGTTTATGATATTTCATTACTATCCCCGGCAAAATTGTTTATATGCCTGGGACTTAAGTCCCCCTCTTTAATCACATGGCCTCCTCTTCAAAAATCGTCACATAGACCATCAGACATTTGTGTAAAACACGAGGGTTAATAAAATGTGAAATAGAATGGCATAATAGATAACTAAACTAGAAAATCGCAAAAATTTATGAGAACTTCGCACAAACCAACCTACAAATTCGACCTTATACAATGTTTATAACAAGCAGGTCCAATATTCCTCTGTGACAGTGTTTTTAACCACCAAATGCCTGTCCCCCATTCATGCCTGTCTTCATTCACTGCAGCCTCTGATACAAGTTAACAAAAAAGAATGAATATGACTACAGTGAACTGTTTCTTTCAATTTTGGCGTAGTTATTTCCATTTAATTTAAATATTAATTGGTCTTATGAAGATTATTGAAATGGTCAAGTAACTTGTTTAAATGCTGAAAAACCATAGAAAACTTTAATGATTAAAAAAGGCAATAAGCAAATATTATTTTTGATATAACTTGTAACTCCAAATACAGGAAATAGATAGCTTTAGTTGTCTTTATTAATATAAACACACATAAGCATGAATGTGAAAACTATATATATTTTTTTCCCTTATGGTTTCTTGCTCAACCCTAGGGTTCCAGGGAACCCCCACTTGAGAAAGACTGCTTTAACAGAAGGCTGTTAGAATCAAGGCAGGTAGGTGCAAAGAACAGATAACCAGTTAAGAGGCTTGATAGACTATTTCTACCTATGGAGTGTTTATTGGTTCTAAGAACATTTCCAGTCAACAACTTAGAAGTGTTTCATAAATATTCAGAATTCCATGCAGTCAATACAAGATACAAGTGTGAACCAGTTGGAGATATTACAGTCTACCATGAGGTAGTGTAGCCTGCTGGACGAAAACTTTATACCCCACCTAGCCCCACAGTAAGCAATTCAAAATATCACTAAAGACAGTTTTGTGATTCAGAAATTCTGCCTTGCAATAATATATTTAAGCATCCTGTTGCATTACTATAACTTTTACACAGAATATTAATAATACAGTTCCATCAATAATGCAACTATTTTATTCTTTCCCTTTTACCACGTATTTGGGCCTCAGCCCGCCATCATCAGGTATCTTAATTTACCAAAACTGTTATACTATACTGAATATCACTCATTCACTTCACATGTAACTGCAGTATTCTGTGATATTAATGTTGTAGTCACAATCTAGCTAACACTAATTGACTTACCATATGCTGTAATATACTATTTATTAGAATTCATTACAAATCATTGTTGCGGCGTGACGGGGGGCGTGGAGGTACCTCCACCGCTTCCACCACTGTACCTCTCTCTCTCTAGCTCCCGCTACATTTATCTCCTGCCGGGATGACGGAGGACGAGGAAAGATCCCTCTCCGTCACCCTAATTAGTAGGCTGCCACCATCTTGTTAATTCAAGAAATCTCGTACTTCTCTTAGCTTGCATTACTGTCTGGGGTAACCGTAAATCGCCGAAGCTTTGGGACGTCCTGGAGTCGGAGGAAGAGGATAACACTCGTGGATATGTGAGGTTGAATGAAACTCGTCACATTCCTAGCCTATTCTATTTACCTACGTCTTTAAATACACTATATACACCGTGCCGACGTTTGTCGGTTCGACTTACATTAAAATAATCTTGCAGTGTCTCATCATGTCCACCGCCTATCACCCTACTGTCGGTATTCTATGCTTGGAATCACTGAATGACCTAACCCATCTGGTTAGCCTATCTCTCCCGGGTTACACTTTACACTTTACACTTTGCACTTCATGATCATGGCTATATGAAATGGTTCCACTTACTTGAGCTGAAGATGAGAAGGCTTGTCATCACGACCCAGCGTCCACTCATGGCCACAATTGAGGTACTAATGTAATAATGACATTAATAAAAATAGATCCGACTAGAATCGAATCGAATAGCCAAAAAAAGCTAAGAAGCTAAAAAGCTAAAAAGAGCCCCTAAAATGGGTCGTCTCGGGTTTTTATAACCTCTGCTATGCTGACTCGTTGTCTTCCGGGTATAGGGGTCCTCCTACCCTGACGTGATTTTGGGTCGGTGTAGCTTGTTTATTGGTTGTTAATCGAGAAGGGGTTGACTCTTTTGGTAAGCCGCCTCCTCCTACTCAGCATTTTTCGTCTGCCTTAGTGCTTATGACACATTTCATATAGCCCTTCCGTATTGTCAGCGGTTCCCGCTGTCGTGTTAACATTCTGATTAGTCAGGAATTTCTTTTACTTCCTTGTAAACCCAGCTCTCCGGTTCATGTCCTTATTACTATTCAGTTTAGTTTAGTTTTTTGTGTTTTTTTTTCCATCTTACATCTAATTGTAGTGATTCCAAATTTACCCAAAACTACTTCTACATGTGCGTAACCCTTTGCTGCATAACAATCATTAAAATTTAAAATGTATGTTTTTTCTTAAAATTTGGTAAAATTCTTTTTACACCTCACTAGGGTGTTGTCCAATTGTCTGGACAATATATTTCAATCCTTTCCTAGGATGTTTATAGTGTAGCAGTGGCCTGTTGTTTTCTATATGTAAGACTATTGTTGTTGTTACTTTTTGCCCCTTGTCTGTACGTCGTTCTCTCCACCAGCATATGATGTTTTCCTCTCTTGTAGTAGATGTTGTGAGATGTAAAAAGAATTTTACAAAATTTTAAGAAGAAAGAAACAAATTTTAAATTCTAATGAATTTTTAATGAATTTTAATAGAAAGTAAATTATGGCATGTGGTAATTCAACTAATGTTGGCTAGATTGTGACTACAACATTAATATCATGGAATATTGCAGTTACATGCGAAGTTAATGAGCGATATTCAATGCAGCATAACAGTTTTGGCAAATTGAGATACCTGATGAAGACTGATTGGGGCCAAAACATGTTGAAAAAGGGAAAATGAAAGGGAAAGAATAAACTAGTTGCATTGTTGATGTACCTGTATTATTAATATTGTGTAAAAACTTCTACCTTGCAGATTAATTCCTACTTTGAGTAAGTACAACTTCACCAGTCATTGGTCAGATCACCACATAGTCAACATGCTTCACCCACACAGTGATTCAACTATTATAGCAAAATGCTAAAATACATTTTCTAATAAGTGTTTGACTGAAGGTAAACATGTGTCTGATTGTAACAAATTTCTGTACCATGTGGACTTTATCCAAGTGTGTTTTTGCCCATGCTGCTAAGAAATGTTAGGCTAACTGTAGTCATGTATCTGATTGCAGTGCATAAACTTATATATGTATGTACTTGCTGTCTCTGAATGTACAACAGAATTGCTATACCGTTACTCATAGTGTGGCTGTGTGTGATTGAATCTGTTGCCTTTCCAAATGTGCTGTGTTGTTTTCTGATATAGCCCCATACCCTTTTGTCTAGAGCTGGTGGGATACAGACATGTCATCCAGCCCATCTCATTGGCAACGGTGACTTTCAGAAACTTGAACTCAACTCATTGTGTCTTGTCTTGTCAGTTCATTGTAAACCTGATTGGCTCTGCTAGGAGATCTGATGTTTTCAAGGATCCAAGCAAAATTCACTCACATCAGCCTGTGGTAACAAGCTTCAGCTTCAGCATTAATCACGGAGAGACAGCACAATGTTACAGGGATACAGAAAAAGCATTAGAATTTAAGAGAATAGCTTCCATGCAGTAGTAAAATAACAAGTAGGGGGATATTTTTAATAGTTATGTGGGCTCATAATTGGATTGGCTCTCTTTGTATATTTATTACATTGTTTTGTGGGACTATGTATTCTAATATAACGCAGTGATTTAAGTTAGCTCTAGCTAATCGACATAACAACTCTGTGATCTACTGGACAGCGGCGAAAGTGCAAAAACTCGTTAAAACCGAGCGATCCCGAGGAATAGTAGAGAATATGAAGGCAACTAAGCCAACGATGCCGGAATTAATGACATGAAATGTAAGATCTGCGTATAGATGGCATATATTACCACTGCAACCTATATCTAAATTGATCCGTGGCAGTCGTAGCACGGATCTATAGGTAATCCTCGGTAGTTGGTATTCCATGGCGGTAGCCATTTTTATAAATGGAGGCAGATTAGGATGAGGACTTGGTCCCTTGTACTGCAGCCATTTCTGGCCTATTGTACTAGCCCCAGATGATAGGTGAGGGTGACTGTGGAGCAATTTCGTCTAAATCAAGAAACGTTTTCCTCCACTGGGATTGTCGGTTGGAATCCCACTGCAGGCATGGATGTCTGTTTGCATGTATTATGTGCTTGTGTTGTGTGTACAGGTAGCAGCCTTCTGACCCTTCCGACCGGCTGATCGGCTGTCCAAGGAGGCCTACCGACCGCTAAGATACTGAAAAAGCGGCCAATGTCCGCAAGGGCTTTACAGCCATAGATAGATAGGAGGACTGGAGAGGAAGTTTTTGATTTAATTAAACCAAATTTCATAAATTTGTGGCGTACGGAATTTCAGTATTAAGTTTTCAAAACGTGTCGACGTAAGATTTTGCAGTAAGTGGACAATTATGGTATGTAGCAGCATGTGTAATGTTCATCATATATGTTCCTGTAGTTTGAAGCTGGCAGTATGTAGAGTATTCGCATTTGTGGGCTGTTTCCGTCCTGAGATTACAGGATGAGGTAAGGAATCCTAGCTGGTTGGGGCTCCTTCCCAGGCCACAGTTTAGTTATCCTGTCAGTACCAAGGAAACAATGAGTTTATCGAACGGCATGGTTTGAAGAAAGTGGGACTGCAGGCAGCGTTCAAAATACCTAGTGAAAAGATCATTTGGAAAGGCATCTGAATAACCAACCTGTAGATGGATTATAATTAATGATCGTGTAAGCGTAGTATAATTGTTACTACTTGTTTGACAGTTCTGGAGAGGTGCCTGTGGAGAGACTGTCATTGCAACTGATGTCAGAGCGAGACAAAAACGTAACAGATTCCCTGCCTTTGCTGTATGTTCTGTGATGACATCCTGTGTGAGAGGTATGTAACACATGAGATTAATCTTTACACTTCTGAGACTGAACATTTTTTATTTTCACTTTCACNAAACAGTTCCTATACAGAGCTTTGTCAACAATAAAATAGGTACAATAAAATAAGAATAGCCTACACATATAATAGATTTATCACATTTCTGCACAGTATGCTAAAATCAAGATATAAATATAATATTATCAAATATATAACATTATAAATATAAAATCAAAATAAAATTATAAAATATATTATTGTATTATATTAAAATATTCCTCTAATGAATAAAAGGATGAAAGATACAGATTTAGTAGCCATGTGTGTATTCTAGAGGCCTCAGACACATCTGATTCCAGAGATCTGCTATCCAGATGGAGGTGTTTCTTAGTTTTGCTGAGTGGCAGAATAGTTCCTCAAATTAGGCCCAACCATTTTTCAGTATTCACTGATAATCCATTGTTGAGTGAGTGCTGTAGGGTCAGTCTAGCGGAGGATAGGGTGCAAAGTGTATGAGCAGAACTAGGCAAGGGGCGTGAAACTAGGAAGTGCAGAAGGCCACACACACACATGCATGTCAGTGCCAGTCTTCTTCTGTGTTTGGGTATGGCACTCTGTTGAAATGGTAGAGAATACTGAGATTTTGCAAGACTTTGCTGTCAATTGATATCATTGCAGCAGATGAAATGTTAGGAGCAATCATTGGTGAGGAGCGTATGAGTTCAGTCGGAGAGCAACCAGCAAGTTTGTGCATCACTAAAGTTTAGTGCCTCTTGTAGTACCAAACTCAGTGTCAGGGGATCATCTTGATTTAGCACACTCATGGGTTGGTTAACACACTTCATGGTGCACTCAGATTTACAAGTAGAATTTGTAGAGCCTTATCTGTGCTGTCCATGTTGGCAGTCCTGGAATGGTGGCATTAGTGAAGGGTGGCTGTTCCCAGCAATGAATGATTTCGAGTTTCTGAGTGAGCAGGAGCCACATGGCATCTTCCTCTCTATGGATCCATGTAAGAGGCTTAATTCAGTAGTAGTTTTTTTTTCCAACCATTGAGTGCATCCTGTTGTGTACCATTTACTATTTCTTACTGAAAACCGTCACAACACAACAATCAATAATGTGCGTAAGTAGCTCTAGGAGATGCATTTTGCTACATGTTTTGGTCATGATTACCATAATAATTCAATCAATACCATATACAATCACTAAGTAATTCAATAATAGTTACCAATGGTATATTATTTCCAGGTATCAAATATTAAATAATAACATACAACATAACAATAGGCCTCCAAACACCACATCAGCCATTGTGTATGTAATACATCCGTATAAGCGTTACATATATTACGTTTACAACTGCCAACTTCCAAATACCATAACATATACAACTTTTAACTATACTTTTGACTATGTAACTTGTTATATAAGACTTCAACTTTTATTGTAATTTATATTTTATGAATTTGATTTGTTTCATTCTGGTCCGTCACACTAACAATTACAAAGACAAAAACAACACCGTCCAGCGTGACTATTTAAGTTTTATCACTTGAAAACTCATCACCCTTTCATGTTTCGATCCCTACAGATCATCCTCAGAGGTCATTAATACTTTTTCCGGAAACTACGATTACACTAGGTGTTAAATTATATACATACGCGTATAATGTCTGAAATACACAATGTACACAGTGTTCAACTTTTCACAGTCACAGCAGCCTTCCTGGTATTACATTTTTTTTTT